CCGATTAACGCTACTTCCCTCTCTCTCTCTGTTCGTCTTCCATGGATACTCTAACAAGCTCTGTTTCAACTCTCAGAGTTCCATCCACTTTAGCTTCATCTCGCGACCTTCTTCACCTCAAGAATCACTCTGCTCATCTTCCTCATCGCTCTCCTTCTCGCAGATCCAACTCAATCTCCAAACCCCCTAATTTTCTCTCTACTCACAAAACCCTAAATCCGTTTCCGTTTTCTTCTTCCTTCTCCTCTTCCTCCCCGCGCCGCTCCTCTTCGCCGTTACTTCACCGTCGTTCCGTTTTCTTCTTCCTTCTCCTCTTCCTCCCCGCGCCGCTCCTCTTCGCCGTTACTTCACCGTCGTCCTGCTGCTGGATACGCCGCGGCACTCGTCGATGCATCGCAAACTACCGGATCGATTCACTCGGTGGCGAAGGACGTTGGGAGATTCTCGAAGGTTCTGAGAACGAAGCGAATCGGGGGGTTTTTGAACGATCCGTTTGTAGGGGAGGAGGAGAAAGGGCGATTGGTGAGGGAAATTGCGGCGAAGGGAGGGTTTGAGAAACAGGTGGTAAAGTTGACGAAGATGTTGATTGAGAAAAAGAGATTGGGGATTCTGAATGAGGTGTTGAGCGAATTCGAGAGGATTTATGATGAGCTTTGTGGAACTGAAGTGGTTTTGGTGTCTTCCAACAGGAAGATGCAGGAAGAGGAGCTGTTTGGGATTGCGAAGAATGTGCAGAGGCTTAGTGGGGCTATGAAAGTGAAGGTTAGAAGCTTCATCAATGGCGGATTAATGGTGTAGAGGAAGGTAATCTGGCTACAGAAGCTTTGAGTATGTGTTCAATTCACTTATCATTTTGATGGTGTAGAGGAAGGTAATCTGGCTACAGAAGCTTTGAGTATGTGTTCAATTCACTTATCATTTTGATTACATTTCTTCTTCTTCAAGCTTCTACACTCAGCCCATTTTCTTCTCTTCTTCTTCTTCTCTTTTGATCGCATTCTTCTTCTTCAAGCTTCTACACTCAGCCCATTTTCTTCTCTTCTTCTTCTTCTCTTTTGATCGCATTCTTCAGCCACTCAATGTTTGCCTTCTCCTAAACAAAAATGGTGGGAAGCAATTTAATGGGGTTGTTTTTAATTTGCAGAAATTTGTGCTGGAACTGGAAATTGTCGTGGTTTTCGAATTTTAGGTAATCTCGACCCCCACCCCAACCCCCACCAAAGGGCCTTCCAAGCAAGATTTCCCTACCTCACAAATGAATATCAGAACAGTTCCCCTCCTCTTTCAACCAACATTATTTTAGCCCTTTTCCTCTGTAACTTCACATATGATACGAGAAGTAGATCGAGAAAAACAAGTTTTTGTGGAACACATTATGTAAATATATTTTCAACTGGCACTCTGTGTTTGTTTTGAATCTCCGGAACTTTCTTTTGCAATCATTAATGTAGCGTTATATGTGGAAATTTATGGTGCATTAGGATGATAGCTAATTAGACTAGCGTGGAATGAATCATTGTTGCGTAAAATTATTCAATGTCCTAGAATAAAGTTCTAGATCATTGCTACAAATACACCCGCTTAATTTTATTTCAAAAAATAAATAAGATCAAAACAAATTTAAAACATTAACTAAATGAGAGAATAATTGGGAGGGAAGATTGATATGATAATCCATAAAACCAAGACAAAAGTAAAAATGGGGTGTGACCGGAAAGATGAAATATTGCGCCGGGTTTGAACTTTCTGCTTAAGAAACAGATGCTCTATCACTAAGCTACAAGCGCTCACAATCTAAGTAGGTGTCGAACCTACAACTTTTTGCTTAGGAAACAAATACTCTATTCACTAAGCTACAAACGCTCGTTGGAAAACTTAGCCATTTAAATACTTATTTTGGTGTTATGAAAATTTAAATATAAATTTATAAATTATTTTGATATTCAATGACAAATCATTTAATTTCTGCAAATAGTTGGGATATAGAAACATGTTTTAGAAAAACAAATAAGTAAATGAAATACAAAAACACGAACGTAAAAATTTTAATATTAGTAACTAAACATATAATTTAACTAAGTCTATAATTTAAGATTTTAAATTTAATAATATAAAATCCAAAAATGATGTTTTAAACCATATTTTATGAAATTCGATTAAGTTTTCTATGTTACATGAACTTCATCTATTTATTTTAATAGGCTGCACAATTGCTCCATTCCCATTTCTTAAGTCAGGATTGGCCTCTGATGTATTTGCTCCGGCGGCGTTGTTTGACGTGTGTGCGAAATTGGGAATGTTGAGGTCTGCACGCCACCTGTTTGATGAAATGCCGCTTCCAGATATACCCACTTGGAATTCGATGATTGCTGGTTATGCAAGGTCCGGCATCATGGGGGGCTACATTAGAATTGTTTGACAGAATGCCTATGACATGGGTGGTTTCGTGGCCTGCAATTGGTATAATGGGTTTGCTAAGATGGTATGTGCTTTAAACTACTGCATATTCTAATTGTTGAAGCTAATATGTTCTGATGTGATAATTTTGATACCATGTTAAACTACTGCATATTCTAATGGTTAGTAGTTATCATCTTTTGTACAAGTTCTTAATGGCTACTAGTATTATCGAATCGGTCACGTACCAAGTTCGAAGAATGAAACTTGATGATGTGACATTTGTGCGGCTTCTCTTGGGCTGCAGTCATAGGAGCATGGTTGCAAAAGGTCGACAACTCTTTGAACCAATGGAGAGTAAGTTTCCAATTGCTTCCAATAGCTCCTTGCTTGAAACATGCTAATGATTTTGATAAATCAAGAATATTTGATTGAGATTCGAATCCCTCCACAAATTAATTCGATCATGTCAAACTTAAATGATTTAACCCTGTAATCTAAACTAAATAAGCCTAAAAGAATATACAAATACTTGGTTTTATTACATTTTTCAGATATATTTTATAAAGATAACCGTCATGACTTTATATATCATTAAATTGAAGACCTTTGGTCTTCCATCGATGAAGCATTTTAAGAGTTCTAACTTTTATACTTTACTATCATAATTAATTACTATGCATATCGTATCACTTAATTATGTAAATAAGTCTTGAAATTTTAAAACTTTAATAGATGTTATGATCATTTGAACTAACATTGTTTTTAATTCTTCAATTTCATATCGTAGGATTAAGATAGTTTTTTTTTTAGAAATGAAAATTAATATTTTATTTTATTATTTTCAATAAAAAAAAATTAAACTAATAATAGAAACAAAATGGGGTGTGATTCAATCCATAGAGGGTAAAATAGTATATTCACACACGGCTTCACTGAATGAACTCATAATTTTCAATCTCCGTTGATGAAAGTCTTGAATAAAAAGCCGGATAATCGGACGGTCTGAAATTATCTACAGTGAAAATACTAGGGCTTTCTTCTGGTATTTAAAATGAACTAAAAATTGTATCACATAAGGGCTCTTCAAAAGATACAGGCTTTCTCTTCCTCTCTCCTAGGGTTTTTCTTGTGTTCGAGTCCAAGAATCTGCCAGGTTTGTTTCTGTAATCATATGATCCATGCTATTCTAAGCATTTTTCATTCGCTACTTGATCGATTTACTTCTTGTTTCTGGTCAAACTCTGAAAGTGAGTTCTTCGTCAACGCATTCCTTTATCCTCTCTTATCCCATTGATCTCTTCTAGTTTTACTGGAAAAGAATAGATATCACTATGTTGGTGAAGTTGTTTACTAGTTTCTTTTTATGGTCTTGTCATTTTGAAAAGAATAGATATCACTATGTTGGTGAAGTTGTTTACTAGTTTCTTTTTATGGTCTTGTCATTTTGTTAATCTAGGGACTTGTTGGCTTTGTTTTCTACAGCGCTTTTGATAATATCAACGATGAAGCCGATATTTGTTGGGAACTTTGGGTATGACACCCGGCAATCTGAGCTGGAGCGGGCATTCGCCAAATATGGGAGGGTCGATAGGATCGACATGAAATCTGGTATACTGCAATTTCTTTGTAATACCATGCAGTGCCGTTTTTAACGAAGATGTTTTAATGTTGGTCATTACTTCTCCAGTTTTTTTTTTTTTTTATTGTTCGAAGGATCCTTTTTGTGGTCAACTTCAAACTTAGTGCTCATGTGGGATATTTCTATTTAGACTACGTACATACATAAGAACTCACTAAATCAAGTTGAATATTTCTATTTCTAAGGTGCTATGAGGGAACTGTGGTGCTTAAATTTTTTGTTTTTGTTTATTGTGATATTTCTATTTCTAAGGTGCTATGAGGGAACTGTGGTGCTTAAATTTTTTGTTTTTGTTTATTGTGAAACTGTAAATTTCCTTACCTAGTTTTGACATGCGAAGGTAATAGATGTATGGAAAAGACCGTGTTCAACTTGATTTAGGATATGCGTATTGGATGTTGCATTTGGATTACGGGGTATATTTTAATGAAATGCTGCAATATTCCCAGTGAACCACCTTCCTTTTGTAGTGTGTCGATCTTGGTATGCTCACAAGAAATGCTGCAATATTCCCAGTGAACCACCTTCCTTTTGTAGTGTGTCGATCTTGGTATGCTCACAAGGACCTGCATATATGTATGCATTCATGGATGACTTTATTGTTTTGGGTTTTACAAAGTATTGTCAAATGTTATTTCCTTGTTTAAACTTTCTAGTTGCTGATCTTTTTCTTGTTACTTATGGGCTTTTAGTTTCGCTTTCATTGTTTGTAATCATCTTAACTACTCTATATTTAAGTTTAAAATTTTATATTTGTCTTTTGGAATTTTCTTGTCTCTTACCCACCTTCCCCGACATCCTTAATCCTACGTGGTCATCGTTCAGTTAATGATTTTAGACATCTTGGGTTTTCTGGTGTATGAAATTATGGTATTTTAGTGCGAGGATGTTCCACTGGTGCTAATACTTGGTATTTCAGTGCGAGGGTGCTCCACTGACGCTAATACTAGGTAAAAAAGTTGTGTCAAGGTTTTATCAAGAAGACAAAAAATTGATGTTTTTTTTTAAATTCTAAAACCCTGTTCAGTGACATGGATGCATAGCTATTATGCTATGGTAATATCCGCTGGTCCATTTTTTCTGATGAAAACTTGATGGAAGGCAAAAATTTACTATTTTTATGGGGAAAGCCTCCATATAAGATGTTTCTTTTGACGCAGGAATTTCTACTAAGGAAAATGAACCAAGCTCCTATCTGGGCTCACCACCATCTGTGCATAAAAATTAATTTGGAAGGAAACTTCCTGCTTGCCTGCTTAGCTTCATCTAAAGATATCATCATCCTGATTTTTCTTCAATCAATCATTCGTCATTCATCTACCTCTTCACTTAAGTTGCAATACACCAGAATCGTCTTAATGGATTGATCTTTATCTCATGCCTCATCAATTAAGTCACAATTCACCAGAATCGTCTTAATGGATGTTCTATATCTCATGCCTTGCCTACCTATCACCTCTGATCATAGGACATCACTGAATTCTGGTCATGCCTTCCATTTGATAATAGTGGCTGAATGAATCTGTCTTGCCATGCCTTCCATTTCTGAACTCGTGCTGTGTGAAAGGCGAAGCATGGTTGAAATTTTGGATTAAAACCTTTAGTATGCAACCATCTTATTTCATCATGCAACGTCTCTACAGCTAAATGTGCATCAGTCCTCCCATATTTTCAGGTGTTGTACTTTTTATAGTTTATCCCAGGGAAAGAAATCATGAGGCTGAGTGACAATACCTGCTAAATAGATAATGCTTCAATATCTTGCCATATTTTATATATCTAATTGTTCTATTTTGCAGGTTTTGCTTTTGTTTACTTTGAAGATGAGAGGGATGCTGATGATGCTATTCGTGGCCTTGATAACATGCCATTTGGTCATGATAGACGCAGATTGTCTGTGGAATGGGCTAGGGTAGGCCTTTCTCCCATCGTTGTTGCCCCCTTTCTTGGGTCTATACATTTTAGAAAGCTGGTTTATTTCATGCTTTGAAAATATCTCTTTCTTTTCATATATTGGGTCTATACATTTTAGAAAGCTGGTTTATTTCATGCTTTGAAAATATCTCTTTCTTTTCATATATGCCAACCAATAGGTGATTTTAACTTTAGCTTTTTGTTTGGTTGGGTTAGGGTGAAAGGGGCCGTCATCGTGATGGATCCAAGTCGATGGCAAATCAGAGGCCAACCAAAACCTTGTTTGTGATCAATTCGTCATCGTGATGGATCCAAGTCGATGGCAAATCAGAGGCCAACCAAAACCTTGTTTGTGATCAATTTCGACCCTATTCATACTAGAGTTCGTGATATTGAAAGACATTTTGAACCTTATGGGAAGGTCCTCAATGTTCGCATAAGAAGGAACTTTTCATTTGTACAATTTGAGACGCAGGAGGTATGGGAAGGTCCTCAATGTTCGCATAAGAAGGAACTTTTCATTTGTACAATTTGAGACGCAGGAGGAGGCAACCAAAGCCCTTGAGTGTACACACATGAGGTTAGCAGAGTTTTGGGTTTCCCACAAGGTTGTTGCTCCTTTCAATCGCCATATTTAATTTCTTTTACTCTCTAAAATACTGTATTGGCTTTATAATTTTGCAGCAAAATATTAGCCATATTTAATTTCTTTTACTCTCTAAAATACTGTATTGGCTTTATAATTTTGCAGCAAAATATTAGACAGGGTTGTGTCAGTTGAGTATGCTTTGAGGGATGATGGTGAGAGGGGTGACCCTTATGATGATAGCCCCCGGAGAACAGCATATGGGCCGCCTGGGGATAGTCCTTACCGGAGGTCACCTAGTCCATTGCGCCGTCGACCAAGTCCTGACTATGGGCCTCGCAGCCCTGCTTATGACAGGTATAATGGCCCTCGTGAGCGACGCAAGAGTCCTGATTATGCTCGGAATCGAAGCCCTGAATATGGTAGATACCGCAGGTAATTTTTTCATCTTTTTGATAGTTGGCTCAGCTTCCATTTGAGTTGTCACATATCTCTTTTAGCTTATAAATTCAAGCTAACTCCCCGTTTTTCATAACTATGTTGACAGTCGTTCACCCATTCGGAGGTCAAGAACCTGAAGAAAAAATCCCCGTTTTTCATAACTATGTTGACAGTCGTTCACCCATTCGGAGGTCAAGAACCTGAAGAAAAAAGCTAATTTGGATTTTCAGTTACATTCTTAGGTGTAGGTAATGGTGTGGAGTGTTTAGATATTAGTGACAAGTTCCTGTACTATAAAACCAACCCCTATATTGACTACTTGAACAATTGTTGGTAGTTTGGGGATGATGATGAAACACGTTTCTCTGTTTTTGAATTAGTAGTTGCTTTGGTGTACAACGTTTTGCTAAGGCTGTCCTGTCTTAACGATTTGTCAGTGGCTACGAGCCGGCGTCCTTTCAGTTAGGGTTAATTCCTGGTTTACTTCTATCTAGTACGTTTTGTCTAAAAGATTTGTGGCATTGCATGAACTTCGTTGAATTCCATCACTGAGGCCCTTTATTTTTCATCATTTCTCTCTGCCTCTAAGTAAGGTCAGTTTTGAATCTCTCTTTCTTTCTTATGAACTTTTAATTTGGAAGGCTTCCCTGCATGGCAACTTGGTGATGATTAAGTTTTAAGAACAAAAGTAGGCCAAAATGCAGGACCCATTTGATAAAATTGTTCAAATTGCCATGAGAGGCCGTCTTCTAAGGCTTATTAGAGTCCAGGACCCAATTGATAAAATTATTTGTTACTATCTGTCTGTCTTTCTCCCATTGATGTAGATCTCACAATAACGCGATCGTAGGTTTCAGCATTCTCATTAGCACTCTTCTTTCTTTAATTGATGTAGATCTCACAATAACGTTCATTCTCCGATCTGTATTGTCTAATAATTTAATTTATTGTCTAATAGGTTCTAATTCGTTCAATATTTTTTAAAATTAACATCCTTCTTATGCTTAAAGTTTAGTGTCAAATTAATTTTTAAAGCTTTTAAATATGTTTGTGACGTATTAATTCTTTCTTACATTTTAATTTTAGTCACTAGAAAGTTTATAAATAAAACCTGTGAATTGAAGTTATTAAATTTAGGAGGTTAAATACCATTATAATTCATATATTATGAGTTTCATTTAAAATATCCAATTTTAGTGTTTACAATTTTAATAAAAATAAAAATTGTTTCCTAAAATATAATGAAAATTCAAAATACATATTTATTAGAATTAAATTGATCCAAACTCGGGGAATAAGTATCCTATTAGGGTCCACTAATACAAATTGATGCAAATAATAATTAAAATCAGCCCCCTAACTTTGACTAAATATTAATAATCTCTAATAAAATAACATTATATCTCATTGGATGCTTTCATTTTCCACAACAAGTCAATCATTTCATTCAAACTTGGAAAATCCATACTCTTCAAACTTTTATTAAATTAAATATTTAAATAATCGTCTTTTTTTGTTGAGCAAAATTAGGTGTATGATATTCTTAATCTGATCCAATTTAACCTACGTACACTCTTTCTTAATGTTGGTAGGTTTCGGTAACTTTGATTTATTTATTTATTTATTTAAGTGGGATTATTTTTTAATTTTAATTACCTATATTTTTTTAGGCATGATACATGATAAATTTTATAATAGAAAAAATGTTTAATTATTTAATTATTTTATTATTTTATAGCAAGCTAAAATTAAAGTTATTTATACATAAAAAGATATTTAAATGCAAAACTATTTTTTTTCGAATTTTAAAATGAAATACCCTTTGACAAAATTTGAATTGGAAATACTAAAACTATTCTATAATTATATTTAATCAATCTAGATTTCAAATTAAAATAAACCCATTATCTACAAAATCCCTTAATATAGGGATGGTTAGGTATTTCAAAATACAAAACAAATTATAATTAACATTCTTTCCAATTTACTCATTTAATACATATTCTTATGTTTACTAATACCAAATTTCAAAAAAAATAAAATTTCATCTCAAAGAATAAATTCGTTCGTGAAGTTTTTTCTTAATAAGTTCCAAACAAGGTCGTAGTCCAACTTCATTGTCTTTGACATATCATCGTCACTTTTATGACAATCTCGATCATAGTTTCAGTGTTTGAGTTTTTTACCACTATCTTCATCACTACAATCTTGTTGATTAGTATAACAAACTCGATTGTTAAGAAACCATGTAAGAATGTGATAACTAACAATCTTGATCATAATCTCACTGTTCAAATCTCTCACCATTTCCCTTCGTCTCTATGGTATCACTGATCACCAAGATCGTCGACCATCATACACATCTCGTCTAATGATTTAATTTCAACCCACGAGAGAAGAAAAATGATGGTTTAAAAAAGGAACAAAAATCTCGTCTAATGATTTAATTTCAACCCACGAGAGAAGAAAAATGATGGTTTAAAAAAGGAACAAAAAGTTGATATCCTAAGCAATTGGGGCATAGAGTGGGTAATAACAACCACAAACACAAGCCCACAAGCTTCACAAAATCACAAGTTTTTGGCAATACAGACAAGCCAGGCGGCCCCGCCAGTGTGTCCCAGCCGTGCGGAGAAATCACAAGTTTTTGGCAATACAGACAAGCCAGGCGGCCCCGCCAGTGTGTCCCAGCCGTGCGGAGTGAGGCTAAGATTAAACCCAGAGGACACCATCCCTAGATATCATTCAGAATATTAAACTCAGATATCCAACATTCAAACTATTTAACGGGTAATTTTGAACTTACTTAGATACTTTTAATGTTAAATTGCAAATTTAGTCCCTAAAGTTTGTCGTTGTAGTTTGATAGAACGGAAGAACTATTTACCATGAGTTTGTAACTTTCTGCTGTCACTTTCGTTCACTTGTAGATCCTTGTATTCTCAAAACCCCCAATTTATTCTTAGAATTGAGGTATTACCATATACAATTATGCAATTAGAAATCAAAATAGTCCCTTTTTTTTTTAAAAAAAAAAAACAAAATAAATAATAATAAACCCAATTTAGGGAAGTTGTTACATTTGAAAATAATAGTCAATACTATAAAACAAATTCTATAACTTATAATAAATTTTGATAATTTCTATTTTTTTTTTTAGAGGTGGAAGTATGAGCCAAAAAAAAAAATATATATATATATAATCAAAATATAATTCTACGTATTAAATATATATCTGAATTTTTAAAAATATTTTCATTATTAGGTTTGACCTAAATACGGTGAGACAGAAAGTGATTCATTTGAATGTCGAGAAAATCTCGTAGTTATATTTTAACCTAATTTTTAATAAAAGGGTGGAAAATAGAAAAAGAAAATATATATGGAAAATATTTGGTATTGTTGTTTGTATTAATGAGGAAAATAAATAGAGCCAATTTACAATTCCCACAAGATCTGTGACCAAATTAATTAATTTTTTTTATTTTTTATTTTTAAATAGAGATTTTTTTCATCGTAACAATAATCTTCCTAACCTATCTACAGAACTTAGCATGAAGCCCTGCAGATCCAGTGCATGCGACTCCATGGCTGTATATTAACTCCTCCATTACGATTCCGCCACGTGTTTAAAATCATCTCTCTTTGTACCATGGAGATGAATCCAACGACTGAGAAATTTTGTTGCTTTTCATCCTCAGAAGCCCGTACAATTTTCTGAACTCTTTTCCGGTCTGATTGTTTTCGGTTTTGAATACGCCGCTCGATTCGACGGATTCCGCGGCGGACTGCCTCGACCCGCTGTCGCTTAGCAGTTGTCCGATGTGGCCGACTCTCCGCCGCTCGCCGTTGGTTTGTAATGCTGAGATGACCGATTTAATTGCTCGGCTCGGCGAGTTTCGGTTTGTGATCATCAGTTCGCCGATCTCGGCCGGGCTCAAAGTCGCGCCGTTATGGAAAATTTCTTCGACTTGAGGAAACAATTTGTGATCCTTGAGGCCTAGATAGTTGATTGCGAGATTCTTGAAAGCGGAGAAATCGCAGAGTGGAAAATGGATGTGAACGTCGATTCGGCCCGGTCGGAGAATAGTCGGTTCGACCTGTTCCTTGCTGTTGACGGTGAAAATCATCACTCTCTCTTCCGCGCAACACGATGTCAATATTCCGTCCATGAAGTTCATGAGCGCCGTTACGCTCGACGCCGAAGATTTCTCCATCAGAAACCGATCGAGATCCTCGACAACGATTATTGACTTGCTTGTTGTCTGTAGCAGAAGAAACTTGAAATCAGAGTCATCGGAGACTTTGAAGAGGTCGATATTGTAAACATCGTAGGAGAGGAAATTGGCCATGGCGGCAACGAAGCTGGATTTTCCAGTCCCGGAAGGGCCGTATAGAAGGTAACTTCGTTTCCAAACTCTGCCTAATCTGTGGTAATATTGTTTGGATTTGAGAAACGATTCGAGATCGGATTTGACCTTGTCTTTGAGATCTGTTTCCATAGCAATTGAATCGAAAGTAGATGGATGTTTGAATTGAATCGATGTCCATCTTGTATCTGACTGATTATTAGGTTTCGAATTCATAAACAGCTTCAAATCCCCTTTCTTCTGCTCAATCTCATCGGCAGTTAGGGTATGAATGTGCTGAAGATAAGGGCGGAGAATTCGGCGCTTATCCGCCTTTCTAATCCTCAACACAAAATTTCTGCTACCAATTTCTTGATTCGTCCAAAACACTTTGGCCCCCAAAAAATTGTCCTCCACCGTCTGATTGGAATCCAGGCGGAGAAGTATGTCATTAGGCTTCTTTCCGGTGATGAGATTGGTGAAGTCGGAATCCTCGAGAGCATTCAAAGAACTAAGATAAGCAGAGACTTTCCTGTAAAGATGATTGTGTTGAGAAGTTTCATTGAATTCTGGTATTCTGAAAGACTGATAAACATGGAAACAATCTTGTAGAATTCTGCACCATTTCTTGAGGAGGAAAATCAACCCCGTTCTGAACAACAGAACCCTCAACAACCAACAGAAACAAATTCCAACGAAGATTACAAAACACAACCTGAAAAACAACTTCATGGCAGCTGAACCCCAACCCACACAAGAAAACAACAAGAATCCCAAGAAGATTTAAAG